TACAATCTGAGGTACAGGATCTCAGGATAAATCCTGAGGGGATTTCACTGACCTTATCAGACCCAAAAGCTACAACTCTTGTTGCATAGGTCTTGCTTTACCTTGGTCTTAACCATGCAGCAGAAAAGTATAAAAACAAAATATAAGAAGTAAAGCCATGGTGTTATGTTGAGCTGTAGGGGACTCAGGTCAACAATTTCTGATGTTGCCAGTCAAGCAGAAGATCCAATAGTATTATGGGCTACTGGACTCTTTTAGAATATTTTGCTGAGGTAATACACCTATAATATTCAAATAACGGAACTTAACAAAAAGGGATGCAGATGAATGTCCATTTTGTATCTGTTTATTCAAATGGCTAGGATTGATATACAGTTACATTCTCTTAATGAATAGAGGGATTTGCTCTAATGGTGTTTATAAGTAGTATATCATGTCTGCATCTTGTACAGCAATTAACCACTAGGAAGAATGTATACAATGTGTTAATTATTGAAACTGTCCTATCAGTTCGGTTTGAAACTGTCTCATTGCTATTTCTCAATAAATTTATGGAAAAAACTCAAAAAAATAATAAATACAATAATAAAGTGAAGAAAAAACATGGCTGTCAGAACAAAATAGTGAAGGTAACATAATTATTTAATCAAATTCATTTGCACAGATAAAACAAATGCAAAACTGAATTTGTATATATGTGTGTTGTCGCTGTTAAAAAAAAAAAAGGAAATAAAATCCACTAGAAGAGAATTTACTTAGGAAAATGTTCTCTAGAAAAATACCACAGGTCATTTTTATTCCAAAGAGAACTCTCCACTTGAATACATGCATGCTTTCACATACACAAGAGCTCTCCAGGGGCATAGGACAGTATTTTATATAGTTATAAAAAATACTACCTGTCAAGCACTATTTTTTGCATGTGTAACCGAAACCATTAAGGTTATCTGAGTAAGAAATTTCTAGTGTCTATTATGGAAAGCTTTTAATAGAGCTTGCCTTGAGAAATTATACCTCAGCCTTTCCCTGCCCCCAGTTCAATACAATACTGCTATTTAATTTTGCAAATGCACAGAGTTGTGTGAAGTACTACTTGGAGATTAAGTATGAAGAGTTAGGTAATGACAACTGATACTTTGACTACTTTTTCTCAGAAGATCTGGCATTAGAACACAAGCCATAACAAACTGTGTGATATGTATATACATAACATGCACAGAATCAACAGTGTCTATATCTTACATTTTTGACAAGTGTGTAAGGCAAATGGTCCTATTCAATTATTCAGGCTGAAAACCAGGGCTTGCCTTGTAATTGTTTTGGCAGCCCAGAATCTCATAATGCTGTGAATTGTACAATATGTTCTGATAGCCCCTGTTCTTCCCAACCCTAGAAGAAACATGATCAAAGATTCAAGACAAACTTATGCAACTGGGTGGTCATCATGCTAAGCTCATTCATAACTCACTGTTTTGAGCCTTGGAAACCCAGCTTAAGATCATTGTATCACCTTTTTTGTTTAGTTCCATCATTTGAATATTATAGGTGTGTTAACTCAGCAAAATATTCTAAAAGAGCACAGTAGTCCATAATAGTATTGGGTCTTCTGCTTCACTGGCAGTGTCATAAATTGTTGACCTGAGTCCCCTACAGTTCAACATGACACCATAAGGTTGTATATATGGTTAGATTTCTGGACTTAAGTGTAAATGTAAGAATTATATAATTCTTTATGCCTATTTTTAAAAATATATTTTAATTTTTAAAATGTTTTTTTCATCATATTCTGTAGGGACTTAAAGTTCAACATATCAATACTTGATGAAAAATACCTGTTCCATATTATGCCTAAGATGTTTGATATGCAGACAGATAGTGAAGTTAAACTTAACAGCCTATGTTGTATGGTAATAACAATAAGCTTCTCTTCTGGAGGGTTAACAACCTAAGTTTGCAGACCAAAATTAGAGAAAAAGGAGGGCTGCAAGGAAAGCCAACACTTTTGCCCTAGCCTTCCAAGGTCAATTAAGACTCAAGACATAGGAGAACTTGTATTATAATGTCATGTAACTCAGTAGTGTCCCAAATTTTCTGATCAAGGAGATTATGGGGCCAAAGAGGAAAGTGATCGATGATGTAGAGTGTGCCTAAGGAGAGTCACATGGGGAGAAGACACTCTCTCAGGCTTTCACAGAGAGCACATAGGCCAACCAATGGCCGTGACTCATCCACATGGCTGACACTGACAAAGGATCTACAATCTGAGATACAGGATCTCAAGATAAATCCTGAGGGGATTTGACTGACCTTTTCAAATACAAAAGCTACAACTCTTGTTGCACAGGTCTTGCTTTATCTTGGTCCCAACCATGCAGCAGAAAAGTATAAAAACAAAGTATAAGAAGTTTTTTTTTTTTTTGTTTTGTTTTACAATTAATTGGAACAGTAGGGGAGCCGATGTTCCTTGCACGCTGGGGTGGGAGCTATAAAACAAGAAGTGGTTAGAAGGAATGGCTATGATCAAGAAAACAACCAATAACAAATGCTGGTGGGGTTGTGCAAAGAAAGGAAGACTTCTCCACTGTTGGCAGTGCAGATTGGTGCAGCCACCATGGAAATCACTGTGGAGATCCCTGCAAGATCTAGAATTAGAGGTCCCACTCGACTCAGCTTTTCTCATTGTGGGTATCTTCCCAGAGTCAAAAACATCATACCACGGGGATATTAGAACACTCATTTTATAGCAGCACAATTTATAATAACTAAATCTTGGAAATAACACAAATCTCCATCAATCAAGGAATGGATTGATGTGGTGCTTTTATGTAATGGACTACTACTTAACCATAAAGAAAAACTAGAGATTTTTATAGGTAACAGGATGCAACTCCAGACCATACTCATAAGTGAACAAAACCAGACCTATCTGTGCAAGCATTAAGTTGCCTCACTAGTTAAGAAATCTGAAAGAACAAACAAGATCCAGAATGGATAATAGACACTGTGAATATGTAAGAAACTGATCACAAGGAAAACTGAGGAAAGGAGAAAGGACAGGTAAAGGAAAACATACACATACACAAGACAGTTAAGATAGTTACACAGCTGGCTTCTCTAGGTTCACTAAGGGGAAAGTTTTGTGCTAGTAATTTTCTAGACAATATGTATCTTGTACACTGAAGAACTACTGTGGCTATAATAATATACAGTGTGTTGGTTATTGTTACTCTCCTACTAGCATGTTTCAACATTGTTTTATTTCTTGCTTTCCTCTGTGTAAAATAAAATTCTGAAAAAGCAAAGTGCATTAGTCTGTTTTCCATCAACTATGATGAAATACTTGAGTTAGGTACTTCATATAAAAGGTGTACTTACCTCACAACTCGGGGGGCCCAAGAGCTTGGTGCAGGTGTCATTCTGGAAGCATGTTGTTCCCTAGTGAAGGCCGCATGGCAGAAGGCACCACAATGGCCACAGCACGTGGAAGAGGGACAGATCATAGCACAAGAAACCAGAAGAAACCGGAGCCTCCAAGGAGGACTACGCTCTTCCCTTCTTCTAAGGGTAAACGTCTAATGACCTGAGAACTACCGATTAGGCTCTGCCTTTTAAACATCCCACTTCATTTCCCACATAAAATTGGGCTGTGCGTCTCCATGGAACAAGTCAAAACCACAGCAGAGAGTGAAGCGCTATTGATGAGCTACCACCTTCAGCTCAGTTTCTTAATCTCCAGTGACACTTCCGGGTGAAGCAGCCTGTTTTCCTTCTTCACTCTTCACCACACTGAACCAGGTGCAATCAGGGAAGGAGGTTTTTGATCTTCCCTTGGCTTTGTGAAGTCTAGGATGAAATTCCAGGATTTCTAGTCAGCACTAGGTATTCTCCCAGGCAAGGTGGTCAAAGATGCTGAATGCTGCTGTGCTGCTGCAGCTGAGCTGGGAAAAAATGGTCAGCTCTGAAAATCAGTTCCAAGAAAGACAGGGTACCCTTCAGAAGCAGGGGCCTGAGCCTTGGGCTGCGTGTCAGGACACTTGCATTCCCACTAATGAACTGGGTGACCTTGGCCACATGCCCCCACCTTTCTGAGACACACAGAACACACAAAACCATAGCAAGTGTCCTCATGACATCTTTTATTGTTTTTCATAGTATTAAGGCACTTATTTTTGGTAGGTCTTTCATTTTTAAACAGAATCACAAGTGAATGCACTAAGAGTGATCTTACTATCTGAGTGATACATTAACATATTTCCTGGTTCTCAGAAACATTTTTCAACTCTATTCTAAGTCTCTATTGGAGAACACAGCTGTTTTGCTACTTAAAATGGTGGGAATTTTGTGATTCCTTTTCCTTAACATATTTTTGGGTGTTTTAAACCAATTCTTTGACTTACTAGGTTTTTGTGAGAAAAAGAATTTAAATTCCCATTACTTTTAATCATCTCCAGAATGTTCCCAAATTTTGTTCATGGACCATGAGAAAGAGCACCCTCTTCAGTCCTCTGTGATTAAATTCTTTCTATTTCCCTCCTGCGTTCCCCAGTATGGAGTCAGAGCCCTTGTATTTACGGTCCCACTGTCACCACTTCCCAGGTCTGCAGTGCCTCATTAGTTAGGCCCCTTCTGCCCTCTTAAGTCTAAACCTGTTATAAAGAAAAATGAACACAAAACAGGGTCCCAGCAAAGCACCGCAGGACATTTTAGTTTGGAAAATTTTTAATTCTTTTGCACATAACAATGAACAATGGTGTGTCACCGATCTGTAGTATAATTAACTCCTTGTCTTTTGTTCTTTATGAATTTACATATCCAATTATCTTTCTATTTAATTTCCCATCGTTTTGCTATGATGACTAAAACTCTTTAACAAGAATGATTTTTTTTAACTTAATGGACTTTGTGGTTCATTTATAACCAGTCAGTTTTTAAAAGTTTGTTTAGGCTTAGTGAATACTACCACATAATGCTGCAAAGCTTTTCTGCCAGAATTTGGAGTACCGGGGAACTTGCTCTAGGATGGTTTGTGAAAAAGACTGCAAGGATCCGCTGGCTATGGTGATGCAGACTAATCCAGGCTACCTGAGACAGGAGAATTGCAAGCCCAAGGCCATAATGGGTAATTACTGAGACCTTGTCAAATGAAAGGGCTAGGAATGTAGCTCAACATTCCCTGAGTTCCCTCCTCACAGGCAGGCATGTAAGCAACCTATGTGGATAAAAGCATGCCAGGGCCAGTTGTTAAGGAGATGCAGCAAGGTCATTATATAAAAATGATGCCAGCTCTAAATAACATGCTGTTCCACCAAGGTACATGGTACTCGTGCATTTAACCACTTGGGCTGTCATGTTAGTGTGGCTGAAGGTCTGTCTTGGCCCACCAAAATTTCTGCTTTGTTTTTGTTGAGAAGTCTGCATCAGTTCCCACCTTCTTTTAATGAAGCAGGTGAAGTTTTGAGGATGGTCAATGAAGGGGCATTCTGACCCGAGGAGAATCCTGCTGTCGAATGTCCATAGCACCGGAAAACTGCAGATGAACGAACTGGGCTGCACAGTGGCTTTCCACGCCACAGCTCAGGGCCTTGATTAGTCTTCTGGATGAGAGTTGCACAAACAGCCACGCTTTGTACAAAAGTAACTTTTGTAGTTGTCAGGAAGGCAAATTCAAGTTCTGACTTGTAGCAAGTGTATTCTGTTCCCAGCATTAGCTACAATTGACGCTTCAGAATTTCACAGCCAATGGTAGCTATTTGGCTCTTTGTTAAAGTAAGTCTACAGGGCTCTGGCAAGAGAGAGAGTGCTATTTATTTTGCTAAAAAGGAAAGATGACCTTTGTTTTGCTAACATTTTGGGAGTCATGACCACAATTTAATATAATCAGATACAGTTTCTTCCAGGAATTAGCAAAGATCACACTTAGATATCAAGCTGGGACTGAGGTCAATAGGTAGACATCGATCATATGCTGCCAGAAACAATCTAATTTGAAAGGAGAGTTGAGAGACACACCATTAGGAGGATTTTCTCAGACATTCATGCAGAGATAGTTAATATCGCAATAATTAGAAAATTATTTCCAGGCTTTCTGGGTGGCAGTTCTATTGTGAATATAATTTAGCATAGGATTTATGCAAAAGGAGGTAAATTCACGCAACTGCCTGATCTACGCTTACATTGCAACAAATGATTGTGTGCTGCTATTGTTTCTGGCAAAATAAAAAAAAAAAAAACTGAAGGTGAAAGGGGAGTAGATCACAAGGGCAGTCATTCCTTCATCAGCTCCATTAGATCGTCTTCTAATCCTTTCTTGCTTAGCTCATCTAAACTGTAGTACCGATGAATGATTTTCTCAGTGGTGACCACCACAACTCGGACCCCATGGGTGTCTTTGCCCAACTGGCATCCGATGGCAGATGACACCACCATGTCCAGGTTCTTGTAGGTGCCTCCAGCGTTCCTGTGGTAGTGGCCCGAGAACACAGCTTTGATACCTGCAGGGAAGGAACAAGACATTAGGGAGGGGGTCACCTTGCTTTAATCTGAGAACACTACCATATTACTATATTAAATGTGTAATTTTACTCTGAGTATAACAGAAAAGAAGGTAGGTGACAAATATGGCATCTAGACTCCTTGCCAAGATAACTCATGTACACACTGCATTATTAACACATTTGTCATAACTAGTACAAGAAGGTGCCAAGAAACAAGATGAAAGAAGAAAGAGGCAGCAAATGCTTTGGAAGAGATAAAGGAGAATGAAGAAAACACTGTGAAGCCTGCATCTACATGATGGAAGCTACACAGGCACAGGAAGTGGTATTTACTGCAGGCACAGCACGGTGGTGGAGGGTTGCCTAGCATTTATGAAGCCCTGGGTTTAACCCTGTTATGGTATAGATTAAAATGCCCTTCAAAATCTTATGTGCTCACAGCGGGGGCTTTTGAAAGGTGTCTGAATTTTGAGGGCATGCAGATGAATTGCTGTTAGGACGGAGGAGCTGGCTGGAAGAAATGGGCCACTGGGGCCTGCAAGCGTTGCCCGGAAGGGTTCATTTCATCCCCAGCCCTGCCTTCACACTCTGTCTGGTTCTCCACTACCAGGCCGTGAGCTGCTGTTTCTCTGTCATGCTGCTCTGCCTTGGAGTCAAGTGACTGGATGAAACCTTAAAATCTGTGAGACAAAATAAACTTCCTCAAGTTGTGGGTGTCAGGTATCATGTCTCAGTGATAGTTCGGCAAAACAAACAAACAAACAAACAAACAAACAAACAAACATTTTGGTGCTCTAGTTAAGAGGATGTTCAACACTTAATGTCTCTCCAGTGCTCCAAAGGTATAGCCCTAATAGATATGATGTGAGAAGATGAAAGGATGTAAGTAAGTGTGACACCAGAATAAATAGTTTTATGGGCCAGAAACAAAATAGAAAAGTAATGAGTGGGATCAAATGTTGCTGGAGGGCTGGGGACATGGCTCAGTGGAATAAGTGCTTCCCTGGCAAGCGCAAGGGCCTGAGTTCAATCCCCAGTTCCACTAAAAAAAAAACAAAAAACATTGCTGGAGTGAAGCTCTGAAGGACTGCAGGGAATGGTGCACTTTCTGAGAGATGGGGAGGCTGTATAGCTCTGGTGAAACTAGACATGTATGGGCCCTCTGTTTATGGAAGGAAGCCGAGGGACATTGCTGACACCTGGGCTGGAGCAGGGTTACTGCTATGCTTTGTATCTAGTTGTCCCCCCAGAACCTCATGGACTCACAGGTAGTGATCATGGGGGTGTGACACTCATTGGTGGCCAAATGTGATACTGGGAAGTGGAACCTGGTGTGAGGAGGCACGTCACTGGGGGCGCGGCTTGGCGGGATTATCTCCCTCTTCCATCCCTGGATCTGTCTCTGCTTTTCATGCATCACACCCAAAGCAACCCTTCTCTGCCATGTCCCTCTGCATGCCACCCTGCCTTGTAGCCGGCTGACTACAGACCGAAACTTCTACAAACTGTGAGCCAAAATAAACCTTTCCTCCTTCCACTTCTGGGTTTTGGGTATTGTGTTTCAGTGACGTGGGCTGACCAATGTTTGACAAACTGCCACCAGTACTGATTTGAAAAAAACTCGATTAGCAATGTGCGTTAATTACTCCTGTCACAGTTCATGTCAAGTTGCTGGTGTGAGGCCGTTGGATCAGCCACGGGAAAAGATACTCAGTCATGCATCGTCATGCAGTGCTTCTACCATATGGGTGCAGAAGCTGAGTGATCTTGGGAGAAGAGACAATAGTCAGTCTACACAGGTAGTAGTCATAGCAAAAGAATTACAGTGTGACAAGTTCCGAGTATTTATTACCTTTGTTACTTAATACATAATCATTCTTTCATATTCATGGGGGGTTGGTTCCAGGAAGTCCCAGTGGATACCAAAATCTGAGATGCTCAAGTACTTCCTGCAAGCTGCCATTGGATTTGCATATAGCCTATACACATCCTCCTGTGCACTTTAAATAATCTCTAAGGATACTTATTATACCCAATACTATGCAAATAGTTTTTCACTGTATTGTTTAGGGGATAATGAGAAGAAAAATAAGTCTACATGTTCAATATAGATGTAATTTTTATAAAAAATATTTTTGATCTGCTGTTAGCTAAGCACTAACTACAATATATTAACTGTGATATTTAACAGCCACTTCACAAAATTCCTTAAAATCTTATAATCATGGGGGTGGGGTATAGCTCAGTGGTAGAGCATGTGCTTTAGCATGTATGAGGCCCATGTTTAATCCCGAGAGAGCACGCGTGCACACACACACACACACACACACACACACACAATTACTAGTTGGTTCTAATGAACTGGGAGGTGTCTCTAGCACATCACTGGGCTGAGGCTTGTCATAATCTGAGAGTCTAGAAGGAAGGGTGGACATAGACTCACACCTAGAAACTGACCCGCATCTTCCTAATGTTACTGTGGGGCTCTAGCCAACCATTATGAGTGCTAGTCCTTGGACACAGGGATGTGGGTGGAGGTAACTGAAGATACTAGGCAGGGAGAAGTAGGTCAAGACAGAAAGAATGAGAGAAAAGCAAATATAAAATGACTACTCCTCAAATTGAACGTGCAATAAAAATGTTCCTTGAAGAACTCCCCTACTAACAACCTATAAATTCTTCTCTCAGGAACACACATTGAATCCGTGTTACCATTTATATCTAGAATAATGTGACCCCCCTTTCATATATTCAGCATTGGGGCTTTAGGATGGTAATTGGATCACAGGGATTATTAATCAGTGGATTAACTTACTCCTGAGTTCCTGGCTAAAGGTGCCACTAGGAAGTAGGCCCTGGTCAGAGGTGGGTCACCGGGGACATGACTCGCAGGGCTGTGTTCTTGTCCCTGGCTGTCATGCCACTGTCTACCTGCTGGGGGTGATGAGGGGGTGGCTTTCTCCCCTGTGCCTTCCACCATGCCATTTCTGTCTCGGAGCCAGCTGATGATGGTGTGAATTCTCTGGAAACCAGAGTTGCAGGTATTGGGCATTTTGTCCCCACAACAGGAAAGTTGAAATTACACAAAATTAATGGACAAGTATTTAATATATCAGAGCCCTTAATAAGTGACTAATATTCACAAAAAGGTGTTATGAAACAAAGCAGGGATACATGAGAATAGCAGGCAGTAATATTTAGAAATGCTGCTCACAAAAGATAAACTCATTAAACTGAAAAATTAAAAAACTCTCAATAAATGGAATAAATTCTAGATGGGACACTAATTAAAGAAATTGGTAAATTTATAGGTAGAATCAAGGAAATGAATATGAAGGCAACACAGGGACCCTGATACAAGCCACAGGAATAAACAGTTCAAAGAGCTCAGAGGAAGGATGGAGTATCAGCAGATGGGTAAGTGGAGAGAAAAGAAAGAAGAAAACAGCAGTGGAAAGAACATGAAGAATACACAATGGAAAATTTTCCAAAAATAAAGAAGATATGGGTCTTCAGATAAAAAGCACTACGTAGGAAACAAAACTTATCCCACACTGTTATATAATGGAGTAAACTGATACACCAAGGAGAAAGAGAAAAACCCTTAAAAAGATGGTAGTAAAAATATTACAAAATGCAAGCAGGTGCAGGGGCCAGAGGTTCGATCCCCTGGTCTGCCATGCTGGCCCGGCCCTCAGGGCGTGCTGAGATGGCAATTGCGACTGGGCATGGTGGTGCATGCCTGTAACCCCAGCACTTGGGAGGCTGTAAACAGGAGGATCATTACAAGTCCAATCTAGTAGTGAGGCCCTGAACACCCTGTAGACCCTTCTCTAAAATACAGAAGGAAAAAAAAATATTACAAAGGACTGACAGTTACACAGACAGCAGGAATCCTAGCATGAAGACATCAGTGTAATAGCTTCTAAATCTTGAGGACAAATAACTATGACTCCCAAAGTTTATATCTAAATTGCCTTTTAAGTTTAAGGCAAAATAAAGACATATTTAGAAATACAAAGACTAAGGATGTAACACTCCAAATTTTCACCAAAAAGAATTATTAAGACTATATTTCAAGGGGGCTGGAGAGATAGCTCAGTGGAATAAGCTCTTCCCTGGCAAGACTATATTTCAGGGGGTGGGGAGATAGCTCAGTAGAATAAGCACTTGCCTGGCAAACGCAAGATCCTAAGTTCAATCCCCGGTACTGCAAAAAAAAAAAAAGGTCTGGGGGAGTTTCTCAGTGTTAAGATTAAAGCACCTGCAAGCGGGCACAGGCGCCAGGGGTCCAATCCCTGGCCTGCTGTGCCAGTCCCACCCTGGGGGCGCACTGAGATAGCAGTTGTGACTGGGCATGATGATGCATGCCTGTAATCTTAGCTCTTGGGAGGCTATAAACAGGTGGACCACTATCACTATGAGTCGATCTAGTAGTGAAACCCTAAACATCCTGTAGACACTTCCCTAAAAATTAAAAAAAAAATTCAGCAACAGAAGAGATGAAATATTAAACACAATGATGAGCTAACATTGATAAAATTTTAATAAATTTGAATACTAACTGCTTTTTCCTATTTTTCATTTAAAAGTGAAGCAGTCTCAACAATGTTGAGATGGGAAGTTCAATGAAAAATGAAAGCATGTAAAATTAATTCATGTTTGCAAGAAAGGCAAAGTACTGGATTACTGGGTATTGGCTTAAAAAATAGATAATCATGTTTCTTCAAAATAGGCATAGGCAAACAAACGAAAACTAGATAAAATGGACTTCATCAAAATTAAAAAGTTCTGTGCTTCATAAAACAAAAAAAGGAAAGACAACCAAGAAAGAGAAAATATTTGCAAATTGTCTGATAAGGGTCTAATATCCAAACAAGCTAAAAAAATTGTTAACGATTCCATGCTAGGAGGCCCATCCAATTAACAAAGAAGCAAAGGCTCTGAATAGACATTTCTCTAAAGAAGATAAACAAATGGTCAATAAGCACATGAAA